GCAAATTGATTCGACGGCTGCCACAAACAAATTATAGTGGATCTCTCCAATTACTCTCTCTAATTGAGTGGCGGCCCGGTTGACAAAGGAATTGGCGGCTACACAATTTGGATGTAAAGAACAAATTTCACCAGCTTCAATTTTTTATTTCCTCTGATCTTGCGGCTTCTTGATCTTGCGGCACTTTTTCTTCTTTTTTTCAATGACTTTGGATGGCAGTGATGAATTGCTGCAACTCTTCTAGTTGTTCCATGCAAAAAAGTAGCGGCACAATTGCTCTTTTGCTATTCGCAAAAATCAAATGGAATCTGCGGCAGTTATTTTTTTTGTTGTATTTTTTTTGGAATTCTCTCAATGAGAGCACCAATTGATACGAATATCGTATCGGATAGGGAAGAACTTCGAGCGTTCTTCAAGCTCCAAGAAGATGAGGTAGAGAAAAATGGAAAACTTCGAGCGTTTCCGGGCTCCAAGAGAATAGAGAAGGAGATTAGGGTTTTGATATTTCTTTATTGATTTCATAATAGCGGGGAAGGATTACAATATATAGAGAGTAAAGCTACGCTAGTTGACCTAATGGGCTCGGGCCCGTACTAAACCCTAATCTATAGAATATTAATAAATAATAAATAATACTATTTAATAAATAATATAACTAATCTATTATCATATCACCTTCACGGCCACACAATGCATGGATAATGTGGTTTGAACAATTTTAAAGTTTTTACATGAAAAAATTAGTTAGATAAGAAAATTAATACCCTGCATTTTGTATTGTATGATTGATACATCAAGTCTCGCCAATATTTGTCTAGTGTAATGCAAGTTTGATACTTTAAAATAACACAAAATGTAAGTGCAATTTTTTTTATTATTGAATTTGCATTTTATGTCAATATGAATCGTTAAAATGCTTATATATCTTTTTGGTATACAATTTAAGGTACACTTCTTGGACATAGTATATTAAAAAACTACTCTATAAAATCATGTACAATAATAATACTCAACATTAAACAAACCACATAAAATGAAATTTAAATATTTAAAATTACATCAAAAATTTAAGAAGTGACTGAAGTATTTTATTTTCATCAAATAATCAATAAAAACACAAAAACAAAAAATATTATCGAGAAGTCCTAATAATAAATAGATAAATCATTTTGGAGGAGAGGGAATAGAATATTAGCAAGGCCACTCCCGTGTATTATTACTCCCATATTAGTAGTAGTATCCCAAATCTAATTCAAAGAGAGCTAGCTATAAATAGGTGGTCCAACTCCACACAAATCGTCACAATTATATACATACATACACAACTGCAAAGATAAATAAAACTCGATCACTAGCAACAATGGCGGCAGCTAATAAGCTTGTTTCAACCGGCGGCCGCAGCCTTGTGCTCATTGTCATCTTCGTCATCACTGTTGCTGCTCTCTCTTCTTCCTCCATTGCCATGGCTGCAGCAGCAGCTGCAGCTTCCAATGCTCAGCCGTCCAATCTTGATCTTGTATGTGCCCCCTAATTTGCTTCTTCCATTCCTATGTCTTTAATACTCCACTTTTTCCTAAGAGATTACTAGAATTTAACTTTTGTTTTTGTCAAATTGTGGTATACTTTGACCACGAACTATTGAAAAAGTAACCTAAAGTTCATGTTCATTATATGGTTCATAATACATTTTAATATAAAACAAGTAAGCCTTTTCAAAATAGAAAATATCCATATGTATGTTTGCCCATTAAAATGTGAGAAAGTCCATATTTTAAAAATAGATTTTGAGACTACGTAAGCATCACTGTTAGTTATAATGTAGATTTAGTAAAATTGAGTTTATTTTAAAAATATATTCGGGGTAGTTTTAAAATATCAACTTTTTGTAATATTTAATTATTTTAAACTCTATTTCATTCGTTATCAAAGGGTGTCACGATGTAACCATAAAAGTCAAATTGTGTCAATTTTTTAGAGATGAAGGGTGAAAGAATTGAGAATGAGGTAGTGATATCTAGACTAGGCAATAAGATATTTGGATTGAATCACATTAAAAGATTGAATCCAATCTATTATTTAGTTCAACTCAAGAGCTTATATACTCATAATATTCTTCACATTTTTCTGATGTGAGATACTCTTTAACCTAATACTTCGTATATTATTTAGTTTAATTCAAGAGCTTATTTATCTATTATGCAGGATACTCTTTAACAGAGGGAGTACAATTTTCACCTTTTGTTTTTGATATCTCTATATGCATGTACAATTTGATTTTTTTTTATCTTAAATAAGCCACTCACAAGTTGATATACACATACATCATTGTTTGGATCTGCAGGCAAGCTATGGGGCGGGAAGTCTAAGGCCTTCACGTAAGTCATCTATTTAATTTCCACCTTAATAATAATTAGCTTTCATCAGCTCTTAGATGGAATATATATAAAACTACGTACTTACACACGTTTAAATTTTTGATTGAGTTGATTCTTAATATAAGGACGACTTTTCTTCTTATAAATTAATGTACGTGTATATTGAATGTGAGGATGGATGTAGAAATAAATAATTAATGATATGATGATGATGATGATGATGATGATGAAGATGAGAATTGAGATCGAATGAATGAATGCAGAGTGTCTGCCGCAATGTACGAGGAGGTGTAGCAAGACGCAGTACCACAAGGCGTGCATGTTTTTCTGCCAGAAATGCTGCAACAAATGCCTGTGTGTGCCCCCCGGCTTCTACGGCAACAAGTCCGTCTGCCCTTGCTACAACAACTGGAAGACCCAACAAGGCGGCCCCAAGTGCCCTTAAATTATTCATTACTTTTTCTACCCCAAATAAACTACCTCCTTCATTACTATTAATATACATACACTTCCATTAATTATTATTAATTAAGTGTTATTGTTCCATCATCAGCTCCTATTTTATATATATATATATATATATATATATATATATATATATATATATATAATGTGGGCAACAACCTTATTAGTAATGCCTAATGACACATTTATATGAAGAGGCTAAGGTTGCCGGCCGGCCGGCCGCCCTTCTTATATATGCATGATTATCTTTAATTTGTAATGTTGCACTACACTTCTCTATTAATAAAAAGTATCCTTATTAATTACTTCTCCAAACCAAATTAAATGGGTTAGTTTAGAATTGGTAATGTCAATCCACTTTTGTTCTTGGCACTCCACATCTCTCTTTTTTCTTTGAAATTGACAACAATACCCTTCTAAGATTTTAAAAAAATTAAAATGCTCTTTTCTTTATTATTAAGAAATAAAAAAACTAAAAGAAAAGAATAAACTAAATATAGACACAATGACCATTTGTGTAGTGCTCTACTGCTCTCTCTCACTCTATCGACTCGACCATAGGGGGGATTCATTGTGAAATTTATGGGCTTGGGCCTCACCTGGATGGTAATAATGGCCTAGATTACTTCCCATGTTGGACAACTTGTTATTTGGCGTTTTTTCACATATCGGGCGACTATCTCAACATTTATTTTGGGCCTTTTTCAAATTGATGGCTTGACAATTTAAATTATACTCCCTCCATTCTAAAACTATCTTCCTAGTTTGATTACAATTTTACTTCTCTCTCTTCTCGATAAATTTTGTTTGTTTACGCAATTTCATTAAGTATTTGATAAAATAAAATATTTTTGACACCTCTTATTTTGTAGAACTTTTGACATAATTTTTTAATATGTACTCCGGGTAATTTTTATTTCTTTTCGATATACCGATTTGTAAATAAAATAATTTCAAAAAGTGACATATTTCTCCTCGTAAACCCCAACTTAAAATCAAATTAGGGGCAGAGGAGGTATATTTTTATTATGCTTAACTTTATTTTCAATTTAATTTAATTTAATTTATTTAATTTTAACTTACAATTTTACAATAGAATTTATATAATACGGAGTAAAAAATACATGCAAAGTTCTACTAAACAAAAATTGACAAGACTATATTATTTTATGTAATCAACTATAAAAATAAACAAACAAAGTGAGTAAAGTTTGATTCTGTGGATAGTGTCTGAGAAGATCTAAAAGAAGCTGAAGTAGTATATTATGGGTGTTCATGATTCGGTACAAACCCAGGCTGACACGAAACTCGATCAAGATTGGACCGGACCAATCTCGACCAATCCCTTTTCGGTCCGGTCCTCGGTCCTCTAATTTTGCTTATTCGGGTTTGGGTCCAATTTGCTGGCCCGGAACGGTCAATACTTTTTTTCTTATAAAATACGCTTTCCGTCCTAAAAAGATTGCCACGGTTACTATTTGATTACTCATTTTCAGTGATCATTTGGCAAAAAATAAATATTCTTATCGCAGCATGTTTTGTAGAATTTTTATATACTTTAGAATGGTGTAATTTATACTTTTTGTTTCTCAACCCGTTTTTGAATAAAATGATTTCAAAAAAGATAATAATTGTTTTTTTATTTTGGGACGAAGGAAGTAAGTAGTGATTTGTAATCCATTGAAACCAAATTAAATAATGAAAGAGATCGAGGAGTAAGAAATGGGGGAATTTACCTAAATAGTACTAAAAACATAGTGACTTTCCTAATATAATATCATAAGTTTATATTTCCCAATGTAGTAGCACAGGTCATTGTCCGCTGGTCATTATTTAAGTAAATAAATGTCCAGCGTCACAGGACATTGTTCAAACTAAATGTCCATGATTTGTGGATATTGTTCCCGCCACTAGTTTAGACATTATTTAAGTATTATTAAGGAGAAAAAAGTTTAAGTAATATATTAGAAAATGACATATGTTTTAGTAATATTTAGTGCAAATTTTACTACGAAATGACAGAATACAGATACTTTCTAAAAATTAAATGGTCTAGCCTAAGAAATGGGAATGGACTATTTACCAAAAAATACTTGGCATAAGGAAGGACTATTGCCCACATTTCACTTATGATTGAATACAAAACAGCTAGTCATTGGTGCATCAGTGCATGAATACATTTTGTCATAAGCCAACTCAACCAAAACTTCTAGCATTTGAAGGCCTAATAAAGATTTTTATACCAGGTACAATATTAATAATACATTTTTCAATTTTTGCTTCCTTCAAATAAAAAAAATACATTTTTGCTAAAGTATAAATATATATGATTCTGGAAACAAGAATAGTCTTACACACAAACTAACAGAAGGAAAGCAAGCCTGGCGATCGAACTTAATTGTGCAAAACCTTTCCCTTAAATAATCTCAGGCCATCTTCTTCAACTAACTCTGATGAGGGATCAGACAAATTTCTTCATCATGAAATCACCATCTGTTGTGGATGGGATCCGACCCTTTACTCACTTTTCTTTTGTCTGATTGGTACGGATCAAATGACGCCACCATAGGAGACGGCGCCGCCGCGGCAGCAGCAGCAGAATCCACACCGGCCTGCTCGAACGAAACCGACCCCAATCTTCTCAGGGCAATCCCCGCACTCGTTGTCAGCGCAGAAGACCTCTCGGCTTGAAATGAAAACAAGAAGATGCCCGTTGAAACAAACAGAATCATCATCCTCGTCCCACAACTACAAGAACATCTGCCCATGCTTTTCTGTTTTTTTGCCTACTAGAAACAAAATGGAGCAGATCAGATGAAGAAGAAGAAGAAGAAGAAGAAGAAGAAGAAGAAGAAGAAGGGAAAGTGATTATGATGGTTGAGGGACAAGTGATCCACAGAGAAGCAAAGGGAACAGTTTTATATAAGCAAAGAAACAAAATGACGCATACGTGGCAGTTGCCCCGGGCATTTGTGGGCTGAACTTTAATGGGATTTGTGAAGGCATGCTAAAGAAGAAGGGATATATATGGTATTGGCATGGGTAGGTTCCCAAAAAACCCCTCCAATCATAGGGCAGGACAGGGCAGGGCAGCCTGATATGCTTAAGGCTGCTGCTGGTTAAGTTCAGTTCAGAGGAAGAGAAAGAGAGAGAGAGGTTTGAACAAAAAGGGCAAATTGGGAACATCAATCTGGGGGGAAGCCAAAGAATCTTAAAGATTTGTTCCCCACTGTCCCTACTGCAAACAGAATGTGTCTTTGATTAGCTTCTTCCTCTTTTGGACCAATCCATTATCTATGTGTTCTGTTGGATCCCTTTTGGAGGAATCAAAGCTGGCTAAGAAACGAATCAGATTGGTACAGCTGAATATTTAAGAGAAAAAAAAACAAAGCCATATTGGGAAATGTGAGGAATTGAGAGCTCTCCTCATAAAAGAAAAACCATTAGCTATAGCTTATCATGCTTTGCTTTTTGTTCTCATTTCACTTTAGACTCTTCCAAGCTCTTCTCCCAAGGCAACCAACATCACTCCCTTTTCTTAATTTAAGGTTTTTTTTTAAATTTTCTAGTTTCATTCAATTTTTTATCAATTTATTCCAGTTTCTTCTATTACACAATTTTCTAAAAAATAATTCTGGTATAAAAGTTGACGCTTCCTTCGTATTTGAGTTTTGCATTGTTAAATTGATTTGTTAGTGTCGCAAAATATAATCGAATTCCACGTATGCCACATCAAGTCACCTTTCCTCGGCTAACGCAAAGCGCCATGCCGTTGAACCAGATGAGGAGGCTGCACAAGTTTCTCCAGATGGGTCTACGGAGGAAGCTTTTGTGGAACGCCAAACGGACGATGACATTGTTGTTGTTGCCCCCGGCGCTAAGGCCTTATCTTCGGGTGCTGGGCAACCAGTGTCGCGGGTTGTTGCCCAGCCAAGACGAAAGCCCAAAATGGCAAAGGCACAATACTTGAGAAGCCACAGTGAGAATTAACAGTTTGGCGTATAATGCACTTTGGGAACATGTAGAATAAAAGAAAAATATACATAGTTCAAAGTGAATGTCGAATTATTATAAAAACCAAGGGTTAAATGAGAGGTCTTCCCTTGACGAATGCGATACAGCATATCCCCAACCCACCAACCAATGTTTGCAGCAAGAGATGGCATACCAAGTTGACAATAATAATAAAGAGATATGACATTTCTTTGGTGCATACATATATATGTAAAACATAAACAAACATCTTTACAAAGGACAGACAGACAGGCGGGCGTACAATGAAGTAAAACACTCATCCCCTTCATACTTGCTCGATCGGGACTTCTGTTGTGGACAACGAAGGCACCCCCCCAGGAGGAGGAGAAGCTGGTGGTGCAGGCCGTGGTGTTATTGCAAAGTGTAAACCTCTGTGCTGCCGCCCTGCCTGAAGCATAAATGCTACTTCTGCTGCTGCTGATTCCTGTTCTTCCCATAATTCATTTACACCACTATGAGCGAGCGAATAAATAAATATTAAACGCAAAAAAAAAAACAAATAAAATGGTAGCAGCCATAAGTGAAACTCTGACCTGTCTCTGCCTCCGGCGCTGTAATATGCTAATGAACCAAGCCATAATGTAGCATGGAATAAGGAAAGCAGCTGCCCGAAGCAAAAAAAGCTGCAACACACAAACCTTATAATAATCAATTCCTTGACATGGCAATACATAAAAACAAAAAAAAAACATATGGATACTAATAAGGCTCCACGCGCAATTATCCCACTTACGGAGAAAATGGCAGAAACATCATCATCATCCCCTTCACCATTTCCAATGTTCAGAGCATGTTTTAAAAGTAGAAGAGCCATTAACTGCCACAAACCAAAGAGAACGATTCAGATGAAGTAAAGAACAGCTAACTATTCCAGACTTCAAGCTTTTTATTGAGCAGGCAATGGTTACAAGGTGTATGAATCTGCCTAATATGGGAAATGATCTTCTAAAACCGGATTTCAAGTAACCGCCGTGTGAATGAATAATGATGACACATTTAAATGGGTTGTGGGAGTTGTGGTGGTGGAAAAGGTAGAGAGTGCTTACAAGGAAAGCAACAGAGCGGCAAAATGCAGCGCCGCTGGCACTTGAATCAGCATAGTCATCGTAGTCAGCATCTAGAATATGGTGTTCTGCTGCAACCATAGCCAGCAGTCTGGGATCATGTAAGTTAAGCTGATCTCCAGCAATAGTCCACCCCGGCCTGCAACATAACCGCATACATAACAATGGAAATTTAACATCCAAAGGGTCCATCAAGGGAGAGAAAGTACGAAGAAAAACGTGGAGGATGAACAGAAAGAGATTGAGGGGATAGGAAAAAAACTTAAAAAACTTTATTTTTTATATTTGTTGATGCTCATTTTGTTTATATTTGTCTATTAAATATAATAGAGTAACTGTTATATTTATTTAAAAAAAAACTCTTCTTTTTTTGTTTTCCTATGCATTATCAGGGTTAAAACAAATATGCTAAAATAACTTCCTTCAGTGTCTTATTCCTTTCCCTTTCAATTTTAACATACCCTAACACTATATTTGGTTCAAAGGATTTGAAAGAGGAAATAAAAGAAAATGAGATGAAAAACAGATTTTCATGTTTGGTTAGGGAGCAAAAGAAAAGTTGAAGGAAAAGAAAATGAGAAAGCAAAAGGTATTAAGAGGAGGGAAAATAGGATTGCTCCCATTTTGGGAGGAAACTGAGAGCAAACCAATTTCTTTTCTTTTTATTCCGAATTCCTTGAACTAAACATAGTGTAAATTTATGTGGCAAGGGGAAGTAGGAAAAAAGGAAACTTGCCCAATATCAATAGTAGTTTCTTCAGGTTCTGGACGAGGAGGAGCAGTATAGCCAGGCTGGTAAGGCTGCACGACAGGAAGAAAATATTGGACATCAAATGGCATTCACGCCAACAACTATTGGTTAGCATTCATATAAAAATTCAAAACTTGTAAGCTAGACACAAAGCAAAGTTGGAACAGCTCAAAGGAGATCTCAACTGAAATGAAGGTTTTCTTTTTTTGAAACAAATGCACAATTTATTAGCCACTAACTCCAGTTTCAGTACACCCCAAATATTAGCTTTACTCACTAATCCCTATTGGGTTACATCCAGATCTTACATTAGGACTATAGATCTAAGCTTATGATTTATGAATAATTTCAGTTGTTCCTTGATCCCGTAGTAGCAATCTCTTGTAGGGGTCTCTTCCTGCAATTTCATCCTAAATGAAGGTTTTCTTTAAACCTAAAGAACTATATATAAACTTCGTTAAATATAATGGGTGCTCCTGTTTCTTAATTTGAACATAGGGCATATATAATCTTGGACCATATCATGATATCTCAATAGTAATGTTCCTTAGAAGACCATGTCAATGTCGATCATCCACACTATGGCTCAAAGTAACAGAACTAATTAGGTACTTAAACCAGAATTGCAATTTGGGAAAATTAACAAGAATGGATATAGGGGCAATTTTACTCAAAAAGAAATGTGGGGAAAACATACAGCATAGATGGTTAAGAAGGATTTGAAATAACATTATATCCCTCAGGAAAACAATGAAGAGAAGGGCAGCTGGTGGATTGAAATACCCACTTATCTAAATACTCACAAGTCACAACTCAGAAGTTGCTTTATGAAGTTTTTAAATTGAAAAAGAAGCAGGAACAGACCTGGTGACATATCTCACAAGTTATATCCCCTTTCTCATCACACCACCTTTGGACGCACTTCCTATGGGCAAACTGGATATAAGCCATGGTTAAGAGAATAATAAGTCACAACCGCTTAACAACAAAACCTGCTATGATCTTTATAACATAACACAATCCATAAATCCTTTCAAGCACATGTTCATGAGTTATATTCAACCACCATGAACCAGCAGTGAATCTAAGTGCTGCAAAGCACAACAACCAAATAAATGATACGGAGTACTCTGCATTTCAATAATGGTATGAACTGATATATTACTACCCTAAGATAGAGAATCAAGAGCAAGTGTCTTGTGAAGCATATGAACTATTGACAACATAGTAGCAAAAACAAACAATGTGTACCTCCAAGCTGCCTCGGCAAGAACAAGGAACCTCCATATTGTTGACAGTGTCTTCCTCCTGGCAAATGCGGCACTCTACAGACTTAAGTAGAGGCTCTTCTTCACCGGCATCCCCGGGTGCTTCATCTTCATCCTCTATAGCAATAGGCAGAGCAGATTTATTATCCGGCTTGTGAGGTACAGTAATGCTTCCTGAAGGTCCAGGTGCCTCAGAACTTTGTGATATTTTAGCCGGCTGAGGCGTAGCTAAGTGGTCATTGCTCAAGACCAAGTGATCACCCATTTTACTTCTCTATCAAATCTGACTACATTAACCATAAACAAGATAAAACTGTCAGAAACAATACCAGGTTTCTATTTTTATGTAAATTAATTTGCACCTGATGACAAAGCAAAGCCAATGCTTTATCAGGAACTATGCAGAAGAAATACCAAACCGCTATCAAAAACCCTAACCCAGAAAAGCCCCAATTTTTACTTCCAATTGTATCCTCTCCTTTGGATTTTCCTTTTACATCAGCTCAGAGGATCATCCAAGAATCCCAATCATTGAACTTCTGATTCATTTTAAGGTAAAAGCTCAAAAAAGACGATCATTCTTTCAATGATCACATAAAAGGAAAAAAAAGGAGGAATTTGTTTGACCCAAAATTGCAAAGAACCCAAATCAAAACATCTAGAAAGCAAAGATTTTTCACGCAATTGTAGAGACAGAAACGCAGAAGAAAACAAACCTTACAAACCCGCTCCAAAGAAAAGAAGAACTATGGAGATCGGGAATAGAGGATTCGAAGCAAAGACAACAGGTAGCTGAAGTTACCAGAAAACGCAATTCTTGATAGATGAGATGATGAACCAATCTGAATGACGGATGACTGAAGTCTCTTCTACCCGTTCCGATTATGCCTTTCTTCTTCCTCTCCAAAGAAAACAAAAGTCGTAACAGCTCCTTCGCCTAGCTGCCTTTTGCCTTGAAATGGATTGATTACAAAATGGTTCGCTGCTCAGTTTCGTGAACTATATTTTCATCGATGTTTACAGAGTAGTATTATTATTTTATTCGCTCGTACATTTATTTATAGCTAATAAAAGGTTGAAAATACTCCGTATGTATACGGATTTAAAAATTCTCTAGAAGTCTCAATTCAAGTGCACATTTTCTTTGTTTCGGGTCACTTCTTTCACAAAAATTGTTTTGTTGAACACTTTATCCTAACTTGTCAATTAAAATAATGTTCAAATTCATGAAAATGTTGCACTTACAACCTTATACAAATATAATTATATTTTATACTAATCGAGTTAATATTACTAAAACAATACTATTTTTCGTTCCAACCACAACATTATGACATGAAAAATAATGATGTGAAAACACTGTGACATGTTTTTGATATTCCATTCTTTTTGAAAAAAAAAGAAAGAAAGCAGCACCGTATATGACAACAGTACATTTGGAGGGTCAAAGTCTTGAACTAGTCAAACAAATACTAGGCACAGATTGACAATTGAAAATTGAAATGGTATGTGTGAATAAAAAAGGGAATGGGATGCAAGTTCTTGGAAGGAGTAGGGTATTGTGTTATTTGAAGACCTTTTCATATTGACAGGAAGGGTGTCCCACAGTCCACCCCCATAATTAATCTTTGTTTACTCCATATTTCAAAATATAAATTTGACGCGTTGTCACCCCTAATTTTTGTAAAAAAAAAATCCTAAACTTTTTTTGTAAAAAATAATAATATTAAAAGTGATTAATAAGTTATTAAAATTTGTTTGAAAGTCTAAAAACTTATGAACATCATAGGGAGGATTCTTTATTGTAAAAAAACAATGAAATCAAAATATTGGTTCAATTTGATACGGAGTATAAATAAGCTTACGGAGTATTAAATAATGAAAGTTTCCCCCCTAAATTGCGAAATGCATAGGAATTTCTAACTAATATAGGAATAGTAGATATAGTAAAAAAAAACACGAATATGGTAAGTAACAGCGTACTCCGTAATATGTCACAAATTATATGATACAATCGGTTGTACCTATCTCCAAAGTCAAAATCAACTTAAGGGGTGCAATTCAATGGGTGGAGTGTAATCGGATCGGGGCGGGGTGAGAAGTTTCCCAGGGGATAGGAACCGTCAATTTTACGAACGGGGCACCGGAGCGCCTCCGGGTCATTCCATGACATGGGGTTCCAATGTCATGGAAACTTCACCAATTTTAAAATGAGTACTACTCAAATGTATCTTACTACTGATACGGCTGACTGTACCATGCACAGACCTCTAATATGAAAACGAATAATAATATTTTTTAATACTTATAATAAATATATGTTTTCTCGTTTCATAACTAAAAACTAGAGTGACAAAACAAATTACGATGAATAATTAAATTTATTAAATACTTGTACAAAATTTTAAAATAAAATTTATATTTTGTATATTTTAAGAATTATATCAAATACTTCCTCCGTCCCACTATATTTGTCCACTTTCATTTTTGCACACCATCCAATACACTTTTTTTAATCCATTTTATCTTGTAATTTGTATATTAAAAAATTATAGAAATTATATATTAATAGTCTATATGTTAAGACAAATCAAACAAGATCACGCATGACTATATTTAGGCTTACACATTGAGAGAATTTGATGAGTCAAAGTACTTAGATGAACAGTTCTAAAAGTCAAAACTGAACGAATATAGTGGGATGAAGGGAGTATTCTATAAAATAAAAAGGTAAAATGATTATATAATTTTAACCAAATGATTAAAGAAGATGCGTTTTATAACCGTGACTCGTTATATTGTACGGAGTATGTAATTTACGGAGTATTTCTTTTTTGAAAGAATAGCGTTTGTAACATTTAATTTGAACAAAAACAGGAAAAAACACGGAAAAAAAACAAGTAGCGCATGTAATGACGTAGTGTGAAAGATTTTATTTTAAATTCCTTTTTAGAAGCGAGAATTCTTCCTTTGGAAATTTTTCCTATTTTGAGAAAGCCCATTGCCCGTTACAAGCCCATTGGCCCATTTCGATATATTTATTAAGAGCCATATTATTTGCAAATTTTCGAACCGTAAAACCCAAAAGCTGTAGGGTTTGGTGGGTGTCTTGTACATACCCCAAATTGAAATTTTCTCCAGAAAGAAAGGCGGATAAGATGGCCGATCAAATGGAGGTTGAAACAAAGTCCGGCGAGGGACCGGCTGCCGAGAACGGCGCCGGAAAGAGACACCGGGAGGAGGGAGGCGAGCAGGAGAATGGTGAAAATGGAGACTTCTTCAAGAAGACGAAGGTCCAGAACTCAGAGGAAGGGCAAAAAGTTGAAATTTTGGAAGGAGACGCGAACGGTGACGGAGAGAAGAAGGATGATAAATCCGGTCCGGTCACCGTCGGTCCCAAGACCTTCGGGTCATCGGTTGAGATGTTTGATTATTTCCATAAGCTTCTTCATACCTGGTCTACCAATGTCAATATGAATGAGGTAAAAAAGTTCATCTTTTTTATACAAAAAAACCCCATTAGACTGTAAATTGAACTTATTTATTGTCTTAGAAAGATTCAATTTTTGTGTAGCATAAAAATAGTCATGTTTAATCCAAGTTAATATATTTTCTCAATTTTAGTAAGGTATATTTATTTAAGTTAATCCAATATAACTACACGTTTACGTTTAATTGTTATTTCAACTTAAATTTTCCTGGCCAACATGCAATTAAACTGTGATAAATGTCTTGATACTGTGAAATCTCTGATCTTTATATTGTGCACGCGCTTAGGAAATTTTGTGTTAATTTGCTTTATGGAATATGCGAATGCAGAATACTACTTGTTTACCCTGTTGTGAAGTAATCCATTTGTTTATACAGTCTAGGTAAGGAATGTCTTTTTCTCTAGGCTAACCCCAAGAATGAAAGTGGAGCAATCCCATTTTAAAACTTAAATTGCAGAGTACTGCTAAATGGAAATAGATATTGTTCAAACTTTGGTTCTTTTTTACGCATTATTTGCTTTTGATGATAATATTTTAATACAAAAATAGGAAACCACAAAGCAAATACCCCACAAAGCTAGCTAACCTCCTGAATCATGCACCATAATGAAGGAATCACATGGTAACCCAGCTATCCTAGACCTCTATTTTGGAATTTTGGTGGGTCAAGTTAACTGGGTAGAGTGTTGGGTGAGATTTGACCACTTGCCCGTATAAAGTCCAAACCCACTTTCTATCCTAAAGCTTAAGCTAATGGGTAGTGCTTCACCTTTCTTTATATGGGAGTAGTGTTTATATTATTTTTCCGATGTGATGAATCCCAACAAATCTATCCCGCATTCCCTTTCCTTCAAATATTCATCCCGATTTTCTTTACCTGCCAAAATCCTTAGTGTGTATGTGTGTGCGCGCGTGTGTGTGTGTGATATACACACGAGTACACATATAGGTAAAGAGCAATGTTGTCTGTAGAAACTGACTAAGTGAACTAGTTATTATAAGGTGGGGAGTTGGGGAGTGGTGTAACTAATTTTGCTTCTTCAATCTTATATTAGAAGATTTAGAACCATTTGAACTTTGAAGAGCAATTGCTTATCTTGAAATAAATATGACCAGTGTATAAAAGCCCAACAACATTTCCTTTGTTTGATTAATTTAACTTTAAGTATCACCAGTGATCAATCTTTGTCCTATTCTAAAATACTGAAAACATTCCATATGCACATACAAGTTGCAACTTTAGCTTATATATGTGATTGGGCACCTAAATATATCCAATGCTTTAATATTGGTTGCAGTATGAACACAGGGTGTTGCTTGAATTGCTTAATAAAGGCCATGCAGAGTTCGCGAGAAAAATTGGGGCTGGAGTCCGCGGATTTCAAGTCCGTTTCCACCCAAAGTTTAAAAGCAGATGCTACTTCATTGTAAGGGAGGATGGCTCTACTGATGATTTTAGCTTCAGAAAATGTGTGGACAACATACTGCCACTACCGGAAAACATGGCAGTGAAATCTGATGTGAATAAGGGTGGCCGTGGTCGTGGTGGTGGTGGTGGAAGACGGGGTGGGCGTGGCAGAGGAAAGTGGAGAAACTGAGTGGACCAAACATGATGATCAACTTGTTTGAGTGTTCCCATATGTGATGGTAGATTCTTTTTTTACCATTTACTTGCTTTTGATGATAATTTTTGAACAACTTAATAGTACTCTTATGATAGTGATTTTTGAATTCTAGTCATTGTGTGCCTTTGTCTTTGATTTTTCCTATATACCATGCTTCTTTGGAGTAGTTCATTTATTAAGTATCTCCATTGAATGTTATGGACTGTATCCATGCACTTTGATGGTTCACCCTGGCAAATTTAGATAAAGTTATCTTTATGTGTGTTTGAAAGATGGGATGTATTCGTTCAATCAAGTTTATTTTTTAAAATTTTGAAATGACGTCCACTCGTCTAGTTAATTCTATTATTACTTCAGATGTGTTCTCAACTCAATCTTTTCCAAGTTATGTTAGCCAAAACAATTTTCAATCTTTTCCAAAATAAAAAAATTGAAAATCCAGCAAAAAAAAACCTTTTGGCTGACCATGAAAGTAAGAGATTCATTTATTAGTTCGCTTTTCTTAACGTTTGCATATGCTTTTAGTCGTTTTCGACCACCACTGCACACACCAAGAAGCTCTAGGATCTGTTCGTTCTTCGACAACTGGCGTCTCTTTATCTTGATTTTATTTTATTTTACTTCTTCCATTGTAAAATCCAAACATATTTATAAATTTGGATCATTTTATTCTTATTTTCTTCCCGCTGTAATTAAGTACATACCCAATGGGTCGTGATCCATTAAGTGTTGGTGCTCAAAATAATCAAGGGGATGAGAGTCCATTTACAAATCGTTAATCGGTTAGATTCAAAATGACCCGGTTGTTTACTTAAGGAAGAGTGTTAGAATACATTTCACATCAAAAGTTGCATGAGTAAAATAATCCGTATATAAACTCTTGAGTTAAACTAACTAATCGATTAGACTCAATAATTTAATGTGATTTAGCAAAGTGTCTTATTATATTGCCCGATCTAGTTAGCCTTATCCATTCTAAATTCCATCAAAAATGGCTCATGTTGTTAAGGTACTTCGAGATAATTTGCCTCCCTTCGATTGAAATTCGAGAAATTTTGAAGAATGATAAAACCGAAGTTCCTAGCATTCATGCGGTTAATTGTAGTGATTAATTGACCTTTTGGGTATACCCCCACCTCTTGATAAAAAAAGTACTACATTCGTCCATTTTATAACCTCTGTTTCGGTTTACGATGTTTGACTGAAACTATTTTCAAATCATTTTATATGACAAATGATATATAGTTAAAAAAATAAAAATTACGAGTACATATTAAAATACTACATCAAAAGATCTACAAAACTACTAGTGACAATAGTATTTTATTTTATCAAATTGCTAACGAAAATAAAGAAATAAAGTAAATGAAGTTTGGTATTGTGAATAGTGAACATCATTATAATTTGGGACAGAGGAAATAAGAAATAAATGACTTTTGTTTATTTACTTTTTGTAATATTACCTCCATCCCATTTTATTCATTTGATTTGACTTTTTGAGTCAAAATCGTAATGTACTCAATCCGTAAATTAGAAATTAAATTAATTTATTAGAATTATATTATAGAATATTTTTAAAATTTTATTTTGTTATATTAATGTGCAATATAAATTTAGAAATTTTGTCTAATTTACTCAAAAAAAATCCAGACGAAAAACAGAGATATAGAGATTATAGGGGTAATTAATAAGAAAATACGGAGTATTTTAGAGCAATATAAACATTGGAGGGCGGGCAATCTAAAGGAATAGTGAGACGGCGCACAAGTTTTAAACAAATAAAACTATAAAAGTCGTAATAATTACCTTCACATTAATCATTTCATCTCCACCCAATATAATCACATGCGTTAAACTATCTTGTCCCCCTATTGCAAATATTAAGAGCATCCACAGTGGTAGCAACTCTAATTAGATGCCCAAATGTGGGCTTTATTTTAAAGATAGCATTGAAGCATTTCTTTAAACATCCAAACCTTTTAATGGTGACATCTCATTGAGATGCCTTGGGTGGATCCTATTCACATATAAATGCCATTTTTATATTATTAATTATGGATTTTTGTATTATATATACAAGTGTTAAATATGGAGTAATTAATTATTAATTAAAAGATTTTTAAGAAAAAAATAGTGTAAATAATTAAAAATATTATCAATGACTTTTTTTATTGTTAAAAAATTTTGATTAAAAAATTAAAGGCACGGTGGTATTACTAAAAATAAAATAGGGTGTCANTTTCAAACAGATTTATGGCAAACCAAGGCTAACAATTTTTTATGGTATCACTACAAGTTAAGAAAAAGAAAAGAAAAAAAAAACTTAGGAAAATGGGTTTGTATAAAAAAAATGGTAAAGATTTTTTCCGGAGAAAAAAAGAGACACAAAAATGAAAAGAAAAAAAACATTAAAAAGAGAGTGTACTATTAAAAAAAGCTTATTTTACAAAAAATAAAAGAATGCACACATGATTTTGAATGCTAGCATCAGGTGCTCTCTTGAGCATCTCTCACTCTCTTTCTTCTTTGAACACCTCCTCTAAACACCCATCTCCAATAGTGGCATCTTTAAACATCTTCTTCTCTCTCCTTTGAGCATCTCCTTTGGGCATCCCATTGGAGATGGCCTAATTAGTACGGAGTAATATATACGGAGTATATGGATAATTTATCTAAATAGTACTAAAACATAATGACTTTCTTAATATATTATCATATGTTTTTATTTCTCAATGTAAGACTATTATTGGTCATTATATTAGTCATTATTCAACTAAATGACTAGTATCACTTGGACATTATTCTTCTCGCTAATCATTATTAAGTGACTTATGTTTTAGTCATATTTGGTACAAATTTCATTATATATATATCCACACCCACACATACAATGACCCACATGCAATATTAGCAATAAGAGGGAGTAATATAATATGGGAAGCCTCTCTCATAGTCTCGACAATTACTGGCCGGCAGATTTTGAAGTTATTCCAAACCCAGAAGTGATTAACTTAGCCAATAATCCTCCATTTTTCCATGATGAGGATCATCTCAGGTTATTATTAATGTTCATATTTTTTTAAAATGTAGGTTTAGTTCCATTTTTATTACCAGTTTTTACCTACTTAATGAATCAACTAATAATTTCTATATCATCTGTAATTAACAGTTTATATTTCTGTGAAGACTACTTTGGTTGGCCTGGCATCGAAACATTTCTCAACGATCCTATGTTGTCGTCCTCATCGATGCCGTCATCGTATTTCTTGGACTGGGAGGACGAACACAAGGAAACGGCCGCCACTGTTGCAGCCGCCGGGAGCCGCGACGGAGTGGAGAAGTGGTCGCCGGCGGCGCCCAGCAAGAAGCCCAGAAGCAGACATCATCGCGGTGGTAGCAAAGCTCAGACATTGTCAAGAGAGACCATATCGAAGTACTTCAATGTGCCGATATCGAAAGCCGCCAAAGAGATGAACGTTGGGCTGACGCACTTGAAGCGGAGGTGCCGGACGTTGGGCATCCGCCGCTGGCCCCACCGCAAGCTCGCCAGCCTCCAAACGTTAATCCACAATGTCCAGGTGCATGCATGCAGCGTTTACATATTTTCTTTTTAGACGTTTTTCATTCATTCATTATGGTATTTGCTCATTTTTTTTTTTACTTTTTACTGTCAAAATTTACAAATTTTGTCTAACACTTTTAAAAAACTGATTGTGGATGTGGCATGGCATGTAGGAGCTGGTGGGGGAAGGAGGAGACGCGGCGGGGAAGGAGGAGGCGGTGGAGGTGCTGGAGATGGAGAAGAGAAAGATGGAAGAAAATCCAGACATGGAACTTGACGAGACCACTAAAAGGTTGAGGCAAGCTTGTTTCAAGGCTAACTACAGACGGCGGAGGCTCATCCAAGAATTTAATTAGCTAGATTTAAACTGATTGATTTGATGTTTTTTAATGATGATGATGTTGTTCAGTTACTCCATATTTTGTTGTTTTTTTTTTGGTGGGGCTGACGAGTGACGACAATGTGTAAGATTTAATCTTGGTTTAATTTTGTACAGTAATCAGTTAATTAATGCGCAAACACGAGCATTAATTGAAAATCCCAATCTATCCTAAGTACGTTCTTAATTATTATGATGAGCTTCGTTTTTCCATGTGCTTTGAAACTATGCCCGAATCAACAAAAAAACGTACCAAATCTGATCCAAGATTAGTTTTTGGTTCTTTTTAATACTTCCTCTGTCCACCATAAAACCATAAATCTTCACAGACACTATTACACTATTTACAGGGTCAAATTTTACTTACTTTGTTTACTCAATTTTACTAGTCATTGAAAATAAAGTCGGTCAAGCCTCGTAACGTGTAATGAGAAGATCATACATGGACGGAGGGAGTATGTGATTTGAAACTACGTGAATCATGTAACGTACCAAGTCTCATTAGCTACAATTACAACTTTGAGCTTTTAGTTGAATTGTTCTCCGACACAAGATTAGTTTTATTTCAATGTGCTTTCTCTCCATCTCCATTTTCTCTCCAAAACAAACTATGAAAAATGGGATGTTTTGTGCTTTCTTTTCCTTCAATTTTCTTATCATTCAAATGGAATGTTTTGTTTAAGTTAACTTTCTTGACTTTTAATGCTCCCTCTATATCAATATACATTTTATTATAGGAGAATTTATTTTAATAGCACTAGTGACTTTTCTTAAATAGCATCACATATGTTTTTCTTCCCAATATAGCACTTTTAATCATTATGCATTAGTCATTATTTAAGCAAATATTTTCCATCATTGGACATCATGAATATTATTAAGTGTTATTTAAGAAATAAAACAATTTAAGTGTTATTTGGAGAAATGATTTAAATTTTAGTGCTATTTAGTGCAAATATTTCTTTTATTGTACTCGTATGACCCAATGGAGAATGGAGTTTAAACATTCCTTTAGATAATGAGAAATTGAAAAGGGAGGAAAGAAAACTAAGAAAAGATGCTTAATTCTCCCGTCCAAACAAAGGCTTAAAATGTAGGTGGTTAAAACTTTATAAATTAGGGCCGGGAGAGAAAAAGATTATGAATTTGTATATTTAATTTCTATAGTGGAAAAAACATGTGTTAAATTTATTTAGAGGTGCACCGGAAAATGCACTTTTAGTTACTCCATAATTTAGTAATGGTATTAATTGATATTGTACCTTAAAATTGAATTTTTCTCTTTACTTACTTCGTCCCATAATACATGTCACTATCCGAAAATCAGTTTCTTTTTTGTTTTGGTTTGCAAGAGAATACTTCTACTATGATAAAAAATGATTAATATATTCAAATTAAATTATTGCAATATACGTCATACATTTTGCATTAATATAATAAGTTATTTAAATGAGTTTTCTTTCTTTTAAAATGAAGAATTATGATTTTCTATATTGAACTCGGAGAGTCAAGCCTTGTATATGTACAAAATACAAGTCTCCTAATTATGTTAGGATATAAATATAGTAAACCTATACAAAAGGAATCTACCATATACATTAATATTTAAATATACATAATATATTTAACATAAAACTTAAATATTTAAGAACTACATTAATTGTAAACAGTGCATAGTGACATCCATTATTATAAATACTCCATCACACGACGTGTATCGTTTGATAAGGTATATATACTCCGCAATATATAGTCGTACGTGACATTTATCATTTTTTATGTCACCTTTCTTTAAATAATTTAAATCGATAATAACCTTAGGCAAACATTACTCAATATATATTAAACGAAAACAAGATAGAAACATGTATGAGGGACTAGGGAATATTATGTATACATTTTGAAACTTGTGCAACCCATATTTACAACTCTGTATTGCCTATCATCATCAAAATTTTCTCATTGGCTACTCCGGGTATTGTTTATTGAAACATGCAAATTCACAGTTTCAAGATAAAATCAATAGAGATGTGGAGTAATTTCAAAGTGGATTTGATAAGTACTCTAGGATACTTAGAGCTTGAAATTTATAAACTTTGTTAATGACAAAAAGAGTATTAAATAATTAGAAGAAGAATTAAACGCATTGAAAAATTCTAAAGTCACGAACAAAAAAATCACAAACTTTACGTACCCAAATGAAAATTGAAACAATTTTAAATAATAAAAAATAAAAATTTAAGTTGACAAATTGTAAGCTTGAATCACTTGTAAATTTAACCATAATCTCCGATAACTATCAACACTATCTCCAATGCATACATCTTCTCCACTGTTCACACCCCTGTGTTCCAAATATACCTTTTTTGTTGTTCTTTTTGCAATTTTACTACAGAAATAAATTTCTTATCAGAATACTTAATTGGAAGGGTGGTGAATGCAACCAATCCTTATAATTTAACCATAAGACTTAGACCATGACATAAATATGCCATGGAAGTTGCAGATTTTGTTAGAGAGTGCTGCTAGCTGTTGAAGAAGAGAGTCTTATTATTATTGGATGTTACATCCGCCGGCATCTTCTTGTCCACGATGGACATCGCCGTACGATGTCAATTCGACAAGATCCATGTCTCGGCCTGAGTCACCAAGAAACATTAAACCTCTAAGATACAAACGATATGATACATGCCAGAGTATTTAGCTTGGAGCTGCACAAAAGCTGGGATTACCTGAAACTCTGCAGTAAGAGCTTTTCTGAATCAGTTCGGCTTTAGACATTTCTGTTCGGTTTCCCTTAGACCTATTCACCCTGGCCTGGTGCAGCAGAGAACAATCCATTTTTGTATTAAGTTAGAGAAAATGCAAGAAGCAAACACGAGCAAGAACACTATTAGGAAGCTGATATGAAAAAGAAAGAGCCTATATATACCTGTAAAACCTGACAATTTTCCAATGTGCTTTTTCCTCCCTGCCAAGTTTACAAAGATGAAACCAATCAAAACTGCCCCACAGAAGAGGTTTTGGACATTCTTCTAGCTAGCATCAAGAAACACTACTGTTTCAGACAATTAAAGAAGGGAATGAGGGAAAACAAACACAGTAGTATATAACTCCATGGTCACAACTCACTTGATTCCCCTTTGATGGGAAATATCACAAGACAAAGATTTAGATGAGGTGGGATATAGTAATGTTCCATTGCAAATATGACACTGTAAAAGCAGCAAAACTGAACTATACTTCACAACAAACTTAGCATAAGCATGCATATGGGAGTTAAAGGAATTAGATGCCTCAAGCATGTTAAGGACCAAACATGTGGATAGCCAAAAGAGTCTCAACTTTGAGACCTTGAATTAAAGGTGTAGGTACTAATGTATTAAATGATCGGTTTATTGTTTATGTGACTTTGAGACCTCAAACATACTAAAGATATACGACTTTGAGGTCTCAAACATGTTAAAAGTTTTAATTATAAGTAAACACATGCATTCGATGCGGAGCACACTTTGGTAATGCTTTCATACAAAACACCAGGAAATGTGGATAAGTTCCTCTTACGTCAGTTTGATCTTGAAGCTGCAGTTCGTGATGACATTCTCTTCATTCATTGATGACTTTCATTTGTCAACTTTACTACGTAATATTTAGTGAAATTTGCACTAAATAGTACTAAAACATATGTCATTTTCTAATGTAGTACTTAAACTTTTTTACTCCGTATTCACTAAATAGTACTTGAATAATGTCTAGTGGCGGAAACATGTGGACATCTAGTTTGATCAATATCAAGTGGTGGTCAACATTACTTGAACAATGATTAGTGGACATTGAACAATAGTACTACATTGAGAAATAAGAACATATGGTACTACATTGGTAAAGTCACCATGTTTTAGTACTATTTAGGTAAATTCTCCAAATCTTAGGCACTGCAACTATAAGATGAAGCAGCAGAAGCAATCTTGGCATCACTGGTTGTTGGCAGGCCTCAGAAGATTTAATATCTTATCAAAATTAGTGTTTCTCAAGCCATAGCTTCAAAGTTAGTGATCCTTCTTACTTCTTATATAGAACACCAATATTTAACCACTAGAAGTTCAAAGACTTAACTTGTCAAAACCATGATTATCACCAAACAGAAAGCAGGATACAAATGACATACAAAACCACAAAAAAAAAATTCAAAACTTTAGCAGCCTATCATAAGGAAGAAATATCTTGGAAACAAAAGTACCATGAATGGTGTGTGTATTGACCTTAGAGTAAGGAATGATATGGTCATAGTCATAACAGAGACAACCTGGGCAGCCCACCAGCTTCCGGAAAACGGTATTACCCAAAGCGTCGCGGCGCCAGCGGTCCGGGTCGCGGCCCTTCACCTTCTCGGCTTTCTCCCAGCACTGCTGCTTCACGCTGTACGGGAAGCTCCTCGGGTTCGGAGCTTCGAAATCGGATGAGATCCGGAGGTCGTGGAAAGATGAGGAGAGCTCCTCCGTAACTGCATCGCTGTCGATGAGAGATCCCGCCGCGGGCGGAGGAGAGATCCGGCGAGCACGGGCTGAGCCAGGGGGTGTTTCGGGTCGGGTTCTCGGTGGTGTGGAAGCGTATCTGTTCCTTCTCTTACCTTCTTCGTTGCGTCGTCTCATGTTTGATGGATGTTTTTGGTTCAAAATCCAGTCTTTTGCCCGACTCGTGAATTCTTGGAAAGCTTTTTGGAGTAAAAGCCTGGATACCCCAAAAGGAACACCAATTTTTTACATTAAGCCCATATCATTTTTCACACCAAAATTAAATATAGAGAAGGATTATAGGAACATTTTAGGGTCTCCAAATGGTTACTATCATGCGTGCAAACAAACTTGAATGCACCCATTGTAGCAATCATTTGGAGACATCTATGGTAGCAATAATATATGTATCGCATAAATAATTATCATTTGTAATATCTGTGGAGAGGATGAATGCATCCCTAATAACAATTATTTGGAGACACTAGCATTTCTCTAATTATATATACTAAAATACTCCGTATGTTTTAATTTCGATGTTACACTTAGACCAAGTCACGCTTTCTAACACCTTCTCACCATCCAAACAATGGCTAAACAACTTGATTCTGGTTTTTTTCTAAAGATTTTTTTGAAATTCATCCTAACCAAATGAGCATTTAGATTTATGGGTGAAATATAGTTGTTCCAACTCAAAGTTAATTGCACACATCATACTGCACTCGTAAACTTGGGTTGTGAAGTCACTTGTGTAACTTGTGTAAGAAAAAAAACATCATAACAGCCAAGACTATAATGGAGGGACATAAACACTATACAATAACATGATAAGGTTTTTTTAAACCTTTTTTTGCAATACAATAACACACACACACAAATGGTGTAGAGCTTTGTTTCTTCTACAACACAAGCAACAAACTCCATCTTGAACCCCACCTCCAGCTTGATCAACCATCACTTCCTACCAGCTGCTTAATTCATCAACTTCCCAGCGTTTGCACAAAAGTGTTGTGCCACGGATCGGAGATGTGCTGCAACAGGTTGTCGAATGGCCCTTTTCCGGTCACATTGTGCTGAATTACGAACCCAAGAAACGCCAGCATCGCCAATCTCCCTGGAAAAAAAACAGATCAGTCCAATTTCTTGTATAAAATGAATTGGTTTGGTTCAAAGAATCACAGAAATGGGAGGGGCAGACAGACCATTGGCAAGCTCCTTCTCCTTGGCAGTAATGGTGGGGGCGAACTTGAGCGGGTTGAAGATTCCCCCTGGGTACCCACACTCGTTGGGAGGAAGGCTGTACTTCTTGAAGATGGGGTCCTGGTTCACGCACCCAGGGTTCTTGATGTCCTGCCACCTTCTGATCTCCACGTAGTGGAACAAGATGAACTCGATCACGAAGAGTGTCGGAGATGACGCAAAGTATTCGGATTTCCCGGCGTCGTACCATTTGGGAACGCTTATGAGTCCCATCTGGGTCATCACCTCCGGCAACAACATCCCTGCCACTCCCAGCATCGCCCACCGTCCGTTCACCAGCTCCGCCTGCACGAACCACCGCAGGCTCTCCGGGTCCTCCGCCAGTCCCAGCGGATCAAACCCATTGTCGCCGGGAAGACTAAATCAACCAAACAACCAATCAAAGAATGCATTTTTAAAAATACAATTTGAGAAGTCAAGAACAGTAGTGTAGAGCGACGCCGTATAGTAAGTGTACCTGCCATCAAGATAAGCTGGGGAGGTCAACCCAGGGAGCCATTCGCCCTTCGCTTCAACCTTGAATGAAGAGAAGCGGCGGGGAGGATTCGATGAAGAAGGTCGCCGGAGGGAGACTTCCCCGTTTATCTGATTACGGCGGGATCCGGTGAGGAATCTGGTTTCCGAGGTGCAAGGGCTGCGGAATAAGGCGGCGGAGGGTTGTGTAACGGTGGCCATGCTTACCGTCGGGAAGGAGGGGAGATGGGCGCTGCGGTGTTACTCTTTCTGGAAAAGCATTTGGGGTAAATGGAGCTGGGCATAAAAAAAGGATGAATTGGTTTTGGGGAATTGAGGGCTAAGATTGAAGGGGGAAGATTTGGCCAATGGGAAATGAAAAGGATCTTATCCTTATCTCGCCCTGGATTTTCCAATTTGCCACGTCCATAATATGAAGTCGGAATACAATGCTTCTTCATTCATCATAACGTATATAAATAGTAACAACTAAGAGAGATTAAGTTTAGATCCCAAATCATAGCCTAAAGTCTAGGAGCTATACATGGTATACAATAAATACACGTGAGATAAGGAAAGCAAATCAAGGATAATCAAGAATAAATATAAATGAATATTTATATTTATTTATCTATAATACGCCTCCGCAAGATTGGGGATCCGTCAGAAACACCAATCTTGGACCGGAACTTTAGAAAAAGTGGGCGAGCAAGAGGCTTGGTAAGAATATCTGCGAGCTGGTCAGATGAACGGACATGGGCAACCCGAAGCTTACCAGCCGCAACTAATTCCCGAACAAAGAAATAATCCAACGCAAGATGTTTCATCCGTGTATGGAACACTGGATTTTTGCACACATGAAGAGCACTAACATTATCACAGTAAAGCATTGGTGGTGCTGGAATCGATATATGTAATTCTTGGAGAAGATTTTGTACCCATTGTAACTCAGCAACAGCATTGGCAAGAGATCGGTATTCAGCCTCTGTAGAAGACCGTGATACAGTCTTTTGTCGGATGGATTTCCAAGAGATAATGTTAGGACCAAGATACAAAGCATAGGCAGTGGTCGAACGGCCACCATCACCGACACCGCCCCAGTCAGCATCTGAAAACGCAGTAAGATGCATGGGGACCTGCTTAGACAAGAATAAGCCATGAAATAGCGTGCCTTTAAGATAGCGCAGTAGACGTTTCAGAGCGATCCAGTGAGAAGTCGT